ACTAGTATTTTGTAAAAAAACAGTCACATTTCAATTATTATACATTATATATGTATATACATTATTACTATTTACAAATAACTTCTTAAACTTTTTTCTTAAAACATAGAACAGTAAAGCAAACAATTATCTCTTCTAGTTATGACCTTTGTACTTGTTTGCTGCTTGTTGTAGGTTGCTATGCCTTATTAAATTTCTCACATGGAAGATGTGAAAAGAAAATTTTTAGGTTTTTAAATATACATTTTAAATAACCAAAAAAACCATAAGTTACTATATTGATACCATAGAATTTCACTATCATTGGAAATTGGTTATTCATGTCATGTATAGAAGAAAGTGTATATAAGGGAGCATTTCCAAAAATGGAAAGAGGTTGGCAGGGTGCCACTGTGTTCGATTCAGTACACGAGTAATATCTTAGCAAATAGAAAAGATAAGAGGTTCATATTTTATATTCTAGCTTGTCAATATCAGTAATTTGAGTTCCTAATTTGTATGAAACTATAGACATCATAAATATCTAATTTGAACCAGTGCTGCATTTAACATGCACATGACACACAAAAATTGATGTTTAGCTGTGTTTTTTTAATATTTACTTTTAAATTAAGAAATTAAATAATGTATAATACTAAAATTTGAATTATAATCTACAGTTTGATACCAAACTTATTGACATAAATTCATAAAATAGTAGTTCAATAAAATTTTGAATGCAAGTCAATAAACGCAATGACATGGCCTTTGACACATGACTCTTCGAGATAGGGTTAAAGTCCAAAGAATAGATAGAATTGTTAAAATAACAATCATCCACACAAAAAAAAAAATTCAATGAACAAAACTTGATACAGAATAATAAGAAAGTCCCTACTCCATCAGTTTTTACAAGGACATACAAAATACACCATTAAATACATTCAGGACTAAACATACATATTGTGTCTTCACAAAAAAATCCAGTATTATTTTAGATTTTTTTAAAGGATGCAATGCAATTTATAAGAATGAGTCTATGTTAAAAGAATAAAACATGTTATTCTAAGTTTCTAGAAAGAAATTGATAATTTAGTATTTTAAAATAAAATGTAATAATAAATATTTTTTACTGTTTTCAATACAAGTTTTAACAATGTCAGAATTGTAGGTAGTTTACTGCTAAGCGGAAAGAGTGACTAATGTGTACATAATGTGCCTGATTGTTTTGCTGACACATGTAGCCTAGAAAAATAAAAAATAAACACTGCTTACAAATATGTATGCTGAAGGAATATCACTTTTCATTTTATAGGGAATTAACATTACATATTAAAAGAATGTGTTTCTCAGCAAGCATTGTTTTTCAGTATTCTGTATTCATTTATTTAATTTTCATTCACAGATTATTAGCAATACTACCTTTACCTAACTTAGGATTAGTTAAACATGTTATAAACTTTGTTCTTCAAATCATATGCTTGTATTGTTGTTTAGCCAAAGGGAGGCTGATGGAGCATGATGGGAGTGGTTTAATGACTAGAAACTTCTTGAAAGTTTAGAAGATTAGACGAACAATATAAAATATAAGTTAAGCTAGTGTAGATGATTATTGTACTGAATATATTAAGTTACATTCAGTTTATTAGAGTGAGTTATTTGAGTATATGTTAGTCAACTAATGATTATAAATGAATGATTTAGTCAGTATGTCTTGTTGCTTAGCCAGATAGTTTATTCAGTGCTGTAAATTCTAAGGTTATATTTGCAACGAAGTACAAAGGATACTAAATTAATAAGTAAGTGAAATTTCTGTCTAGATGTTTATTTGTGAAGTTAGGCCTATCATTAGTTATATAAAATAATGTTGTAGTTAAAGACATAAAATGCTTTCATTATCACTAAATAGACTGGACTTAGTATTATTCTTTTTTACCAAATAATATGAAAAAACCCATCCAACAACAGAAACTGTTAGAATAACATATTACCACTTGTTTTTCACAGATACACAGCCATTAACATATCATTTAACAGAAACAACCAATAAAAATGAAGATACCTATTTGCTTCTTGGTCCTTAACAAAAGCCGATAGCCCTGTTGGGAAAAAAGTAGGTTAAATAAAGAAAGTGTAAAAATTAAAATACAATTAGCATAGTAGGTGCAAAAAATAATGTAAAAGTAGAATATTCTTCATTTTTGTCATATGGTTCATTATTGTAGTGACTTGCATGTGAATAACAAAATTATGACACTGCATTACTTAAAGCATATAAACTAATGCGAGTTAAACCAATTTCCAGCTTTTTGAGCTAAGCCTAATTTGTGTTTGATGACCTAGTGCTACAAATTTTTAACTTTTTTGATACCAATTTTTGGCAATTAGATGCAAATTTTTATTGGAAATAGCTTTTCTTACTACTAGATACTGAAACTAAGCTAAAAGTAATAAATTTTAAAAGGCAAAAAACATATTAAAAAATTGTGTAGAAAGGAAACTACAGTACAGTATTTACAGAACTCGGATTCTTAACACAATTTAAATACATTCTGTAACTCCTATGTATTATACTTTAAAAGTACATTAAAAGATTTAACTGGCCTTAAAAACCTAGCTACTACTGGCATACAAATCTATCATACTGATATTATATTAAAATTTTCACTGCTAATACAGAGTCAATCACATATCTTAAATAACCTTATGATGCTATTAAGGTAAGAAATCTGTATAGTTTACTTATGTAAACTTTCAGCCATTAACAAAATGTGACAAAAGGTTGGCAAGTTCTTCAGACAATAATTAAACTTTTAGTCTGATGGGTCATATAAGTAAGCATTTAACATACAAGTATATTCATCACAAATGTTGCAATTCATACATTTCAGAAAACTTTTATGAGACATCAAGAAAAACCAACAAAATGTAACCACAAGTATCAAATCCTTAAGTTAAATATCTTACATGTACCTAAAATATATTTAAGTATACAATGTACAATAAATAATGATTTAGATCATTAAAGTAAAAACATACCTATCTGACATATTACATACTGTTGAACTGAAAGTTGTAGCTTCTTATAACGTTCTGCTGGAGTGTCAAACAGACTAAACAACAAAACAAAGTGTGTTTTTTTTATTAAAACCACAGAACACTACAATTTTATCAAGTGTGTCTGTGTAAAAATGTAACCTTGTTTAAATTTTAAATATTAGCAAAGCTATAATTATAACAGAATGGAAAAAGTTAAAATACAACACATCTACATGCATTCTTTATAAGATATCATTACTTAGTATATACACATTTTTACTTCTGGGATAAACATTAAGCACCATTATACATTTCTTTTAATAAAAATACATAAATTTCCTAAAGAAATTTTTCAAACAAAAAGGAATTAATACATACTGCTAGCTTTAAGGGAACAAATTTAAAATCTACATTTTTACACAAAATTCTGCTGGTACTCAAGAGTAATTTGGTACCAGTTCTTTTAGAAATTCCAAGTAGAGTACCACTTATTTTTTAGAAGCTAGTACTGAATTCCATTGTTTTTTTTTGCATTTCTTGGGAGTTCACTTTGAATACTGGATTTAGAGGTATTGTTAACTTGCAGAAATATGGAATTAAGAGGCATCTTTATCTTGCAGAAATACGGGATTCAGAGGAATCATTAACTTGCAGAAATACGGGATTCAGAGGAATCATTAACTTCCAGAAATATGGGATTTAGAGGCATCATTAATTTGCAGAAATATGGGATTTAGAGGCATCATTAATTTGCAGAAAGCTTGATATTCCAATACTGTGAAACCACATCATAGCAAAAGTGAGTATCATTACTTTTTTTCAGGAAAACTTAACCACTGACAGTAATATCTTTTACTTATACTCACCAGGGTTTGGTACTGGGACCAGTGTTCAATCCTGTAAATTCTGTGTCAATAGCTGAAATATTATAAATAAATAAGAAAAAACTATCAGCCTACGAAATGCATAGTACCACTTGTGAAAATTCTAACCTTTGTTTATGCAAAGCTACTTTCTTTTAACGTTCAATTTAACAAAAGGTCAAGACTACTAATAAGTTACACCATTACTTTTTTTTCTTTAATGTTCAGCTTTCTCCCAGTCAAACTGATGAAAAATTGTTTAAAAAATGTTTTCATTACTTTTCTTTAACATTGTTCATTCATATAATAGCTTGCCAAAATATTTGGTTTATGGTTATTCTTTTATTCTGTATGGCAAGGATATGTTTAAAATTGATTAGAAGCATATAATGTCTTAGCTCTTTTAGTTTACTAAATTGTTATGATTATAAATTTGTCATTATTTTATTGATAATGTTAATTCATCTTTCTAATTAGTTCTAACACTATATTTCAGCTACTAATATGCTACCAAATTCAGGAATATGGGTTTCAAGGGTTACTCTTAAATGGATTTACGTTAGATTTTATTGTTTGAAACTAAGCATGATTTTGTAAAGCTGCATAACTTTCTATCATTTTGCATAAGGGTATGTTTAAAGGACATGTTCTTCTAGAACAGTGTTTCCAAATTTGTAGTCTGGAGTCCCATCAGGTGGTCTGTAGACAGGTTGCATAATTACAGAAAGAAAGCAGTAGTGTAGTGTATAATTTCATTGCAGCCTGCCAAGATGAAAAGAAAATGCCAGTGGTCTGCAAATAAAATAGTTTGAGAATCACTGTTCTATAAGATTTGTTATACGAGTGCTTTTGAAAGCTGGTCCCTTCTTCTTCTAAGGCAAACTAGAAGTTTTTGAGTTCAATTGATTTCTTGAACCTATGTGTTTTCCTAACATCATTTACAAATTGATTATATATTTTGAACAATGGGTAAGAAGACCTAATGTTTTCAAAAAGTAAGCACAATCTGGCCATTTTTTTTGGTCAGAAAGGAATTACACAAGTTTTGTTTCTGAAAAAAAAAAATTATAGCATAAAGTTAGCTGTAAGCCTTAGTAAATGAAAATTTTACTTTAGGAAACAAATTTGAGGTTTCATTTGAGAATGTGATTCTAAAAAAAAAAAATCAAAGTACTAGCACTTGTTCCATTAAAGAAGTATCACCAAAGTATAACCTGAAATCTTAAATGGGTGGGACAAACCTACCAATCAAGATTTTCAATCTTCATACTTAATGCTCATGTACATATTCACATTTAAATGTAACTTATGCAAGGTATAATGCTTTGCTAAAATGTATCACTTCATGTTTAATAGCATCTTCAGTGATTGATTTATGCTGAAAAACTTCTCAGAAATAATGCTGTTGTTATACTAACTTTTGGGTTTTTAACACTGGTAATTTTTTTATATATAATAATTACACACACATATTATCTGTATGTTGTGTTTGCTACTTCAGCACTTCAAACACCTGTACATAAACTGGAGAGCAAGTAAAATTTAAAAACCCTTCTCACCAATGAATGCTGCTTGATTGATGGAAGATTCAATCTTTGGAAAAATGGCATCAAATCTTGACGACAGTACTTCAACCATGTTTCTTTAAAAAATTAAAGATGAGCTTTAAAAAAATTAAAAAAGGTTATATTACAGTAAAATGAGTTAAGTATCCAATATCTGTTAAATTCCTTGAAAATATGGCAAAACATTTAACTTTAAGTTCACGTCAACCAGAGATTAATAATAACAAAATGAAAAAAATAACATTAACAGTGAGTTAAGCCCTAAAAGTAAAAGTGCTAGTTTACAAAATATGGGAAACGCGTCAAAGTTTCTTTCGACAAAAGGAGCTTCATTTACATATAAATAGGCTATATATATTTACAAAATGAACTGGTAAAACTAAAAGTAATAAAATATTAGTATTACTAGTATTATAAATTAGGCGTTACCAATACCATGCATTCGTAAGTTAGTTAGTGTTCTTAAAAAATCAGCGCCACTGTTATAACATTTATTCAGTGCATTAAGACTTAATTTTTTATTTGTAATGTAGTTGCCTGTCTTATAATTGTCTAAAAGATACACTACCCCAAAATAAAAAAGCCACTTTTATATTCAAACAACGTTATATACCACTCACTACTACTAATACAGTAATATTAGTTTACAGTTTGTTGGGCCACTGTTGGTTTACACTGTTTCAGTGTTGCCTAGTGAGTAATTTTCAAAACTACAAAAGGTGAAATAATTGAATTGTGTTTTGTTATATTAAGGAGACTGTATTTAAACTTTTAATAAATAACTTAAAAATTAAATAGTTTCAATCTTCAGAAAGTCAATAATTTATAGGAATGAAATTATAAACCACTTAAGTGCAAATCTTTTAAACAAACATTATATTTTGTTGTTTATTTAAAATATTATTTTTGTGTTTATTTTATTAACTTTTATTTACCTAACTGCAGATGAAACTAGCTCACTTTGTTCATCTTTACTTGAACCATTACAGTAAACTTTGGATACGCTATTTTTTGTGTGTGTTTTTACAGAAATTTTCAGTTCTCCAATACTATGCGATTATGTACTGAATCATGAACCACAAGGTGAAAGATAAAAATATAAATGTCTTATTTCGTAGTAAGTTACGCTGTGATTGTATATTTAAATTTTGAAAATGTAATTTAATATGATCATACCTTAATAATGATATAAATACATCTGCTAATATTTTTTGTAACTGTATTAAAACTCTTAAATAAATTGGATGAGTATTTCCCAAGCAGGATATCATATTGTAGAATTAAATCAAACCAAGCATAATAAATATATTTTATTTCATTCGAGTTAAATAATTTCGTAAATAGTAAAATCTTACTGTTGATATCTTTCTTTTTTTTTTCTACTAATTTAATGTGTTCTTTCCAATTATATCTATAATTTAGTAATACTGTAAGATACTTAATACTTTCTGATTTTTGTAAAATTCAATTAACATTTATATTATGCTTGATACAAAAATATTTACAGACACAATTCTAATAAATTATTGGTTCGTTTGGAAGCATCCGACTTGTAGAAACCTCATGTATATTGTTTTCTTTGCAATTGAACATTATAATTTATTATCAAACCACCTCGTTATGGATTTTTAAATCATTATTTATTTTTTGATGACCTCCTTATCAAACTTTCTATTACTCTATCACAGAATTGTATGGAGTCATCTGCAAAATTATTATTTCTCCATTAAACATAATTTCACAGAAATCGTTTAAATATAATAGAAAAAGTAATGGACACAAAACTAATCCTTGGGGTACTCCAGCAGTTAAGCCCATTTCATTAAATAACATTATTTATTTTAACTATATTTGTTATTTATTTAATATATAAATTTAAACCAACTTCAAACAGTATCTCGTATTCCAATTCGATAAAGTTTTTTAATAAAAGTTTTTATGGGATCATGTCAGTAGCTTTTGATATATCTAGAAAAAATATCAGTTGTTATTAATCACTGTAATTAGTACATCTTTTTTGGTCATATCTTTACGATATACAAATTGACGATTTGGGAAAAACTTTATTGAATCTAAAAATTTTTTTATTCTTTCTTTAACAATATTTTTCAATAATTTTTAATATGCCCGATAATAAAACAATTGGTCTATAATTATTCAAATCACTTTTATTTCCCGCTTTATATTTTGGTATAATAACAGCATATTCTATTGTAAAGAACAAAGAAACTAAAACAAGACAATCTCAATGACTTTCTAGACCACTTGTTCAGGTTAAAACTGAATACAAACTGAATGAATGGGGAAAAGATTAAAAACTCCTAGATAAGTAAAGCAGGCAAAATATATAAAATGACTGCATATCACATTATCATGGGATATGCTACTGTTTAAAACAGTGGTATTTTCTTTTTGTAAGTTAGATAATGTTCCAACAGCATGACATCTTTTACTGACATGAAAATGGTCTTCAGTCACATGGATAGCGTGTGTACCTGTAGAAGAGAAGCATATGTAATTCGATGACGAGGAACCCACTTTGAGACAAATAATGGCTGGAGACGGCTTGAATGGGTAATGAAGCAAAACTTTAATATAAGTTTAACATAACAGCAAGTGTACAACGTTTCGACAAGGTTTAGAGTAGGGTTGTTTTGTTCAATTAAGATGGATTCCTTGATTTTTCGTTTGATTATGTTGGGTTCTTTGTTTAAAATGACCGTGTTTTTAATAGATATACTATGGTTTTTTGAGTTTCAATGGTGAAAAACATGGGACGGTTTTTTATTGTGTTCTGTCAATCTGGTTTCCAATTTTCTTCCTGTTTCTCCGATGTAGAATTCTGGGCAGTTATTGCATGTTATTTTATAAATGACGTTGATATTGTGTGATTCTAAATAATTTTTGTTTAGTAACGATTTTAATTTAGGGCCGGGTTTTTGTGAGAATTTGACGTTGACAGGAATATTGTGTTTACTGGCTAGTTTAGTCCAAGTGTGGATACTTCTTGAGCTGGTTTCAGAAACAAAAGGTAAACTGCAGTGTATTGTACTGTTGTTTGATTTGTTAGTGTCAATTTTGTTCGTGAGTTGAGTTTTATTGTGGGGAATGTTGGAGAGCTTTTCAACTATATCTGGTGGGAATTTATTGGTGTGAATAAAGGAATGCTTTAAGTGGTTAATTTCTTCATTTATGTAGTCCGTTAAACAGAGTCTTGTGGCTGTGTTTATGAAGTTTTTAAGTGTATTGATTTTTGCGGAATTCCAGGGGATGTAGAGACCAGTGTGTGTGTTTTTGCGGTGAATTTTTGTTTTAAACAGTACATTGCACTGCAATTTACCTTTTGTTCCTGAAACCAGCTCAAGAATTATCCACACTTGGACTAAACTAGCCAGTAAACACAATATTCCTGTCAACGTCAAACTCTCACAAAAACCCGGCCCTAAATTAAAATCGTTTACTAAACAAAAATTATTTAGAATCCCACAATACCAACGTCATTTA